CCACACACTAGAGGAAAGGGAAACCCCTAAAAATCCTAGTAGTGCCCCTTTAACAGAATATTAAGAGAAGATATAAGAGACGTTCAAGAGAATGTTGCTGCACAAATGAGATCCTTGGATTGCCACATTTTTCTTGCAATCATCACATAGCAGCTCTTTTTACATCGTAACACCGCAGGATTCTATTAACAAGGTGAGGGTTTTAGTGGCATTCTAGGCTGCTGGTGAAGAGCGGCAACTTAGAAAATAAGGCACAACAGAGGAAGAGCTTTCTTAATTCTCACTCAGGCTGATTTTAAAAGGTATTTTGTGCTCCAGTATATCTCTGGTCTCCTGAGTCTAATGCTTTTGACTATGAGGCTCGATATTCATTGGGTGCATTTTCTTCTACTATTCTCAGTATTAGGTGACCAAAGTGACACCATAAATAGTGTCAACTTCAGCGCTTGAATGTCATAACTTCTGCGTGATTAAATCCAGAATGATAACATGTTTGTTTATTCAGGAGATGGCGGTGGTAGTAATTAGGTACTGTTATGGAAAATAAACTCCAGCGTCTGTTCTCACTTTACACCAACTCAGAAAAACTGGATTCTTAAGAGACTGTTTCCAGGCTGTTAAAAATGTTATCTGAAGAATAACTCTGAGAGATTTGAGTTTATATTTTGCCCGTCGACAATTATTATCATTTAAAGTTTAGTTAATTAAATCTAGCATTTAAATGAATCACCCTTTTATACTTCATGAGTAAACCTGTCTGGCTTTAAGTTGTAATTCTTCTACTTTTCTGGAGAATTATTTAGCTATTTGAATTATTTAGCTATTTCCTTGGTTTTCGTCTTTATAGATTTGCCTAGCCTGATATTTATTTATGAAAATGCATTGCATCTCTTTGCTGCCATCAACATTTTCGCCAGCCAGAAGATACAAAAACATGTATTTTTCCTTCTTCTTTACGAACAGTGGGATTTTTTTTTTTTTTAAAGCAGTCATGCCCTTTAAACCAAACATCTGATATTAAATGAGTGAATAAATGCAGTTGCTAATAGAGGTATGGATAAGTAAACATATATATCTATGATACATGGAACAATGGAGAGGTGTGAGGAGAGTGGAGGACAGCAGGAGTCTCCTGCTGTGCTTAAGCTCCATAATTCCTACCAGTGAGTTTGTGGTTACACAATAGCAGCCTTAAGATGCCATGTGGACTATATGCAACTAAATCGAGGGACAGTCTGGACTGATATTATGTTGCTCAGCAGAAATGTTTGCTTTTGCCAACATTTCCACTGCCTGTCCCATCAGTCCTTCCAACATCCTACGTTCAACATGTTGAAGTATAAAAAGATGCATTTTCTTGTTTTTTTGTTTTGTGGATATGATAATACTCTGAAGCTTTTAGTCACAATGAAAGAGTGTTTACACAGCTTGGAGGTTTTGTCAGGGTGGACTATGAAAATACGAGTCTGCTTGATGTGCCCATCTCTCTCGAACATGACAAGCTCATCTTGTTCTGACATGGCCTCCGCTAAAGAGTTTTAAAATGGTGTGAGTGCAGGTTTTGCAATTCAAATGAAATAGAGGCCATTAAAGAATAGCACTCTAAAATAGGCAATACTTAGCCCTGGCTGGAAAAGAGCCCCAGGCAGAGGCAAAAGGTGACAAGGAGGCTCTCTTAAGTCTATCCATCTCTCTGACTCTAATACATGCCTAATACGCTTGACTTGAACTCTAGCGCCATGCAGCATCCGTAAGCGTCGCCATTTAAAAATGCCCAGATCCCCGCAGCAGTTTCAGTGAAGAAAGCCCTCCAGTTTGTAGATGATCTGTTGCCATAGTTACCCGAGCACAGGAACTGAGCACTCGTTACCCTCAAACAGGCAACTGAGCCGAGCCCAAGCCCCTCCTCCTCTTCCTCCCCCTCACTGGGTCCCCTGGCTAGTTCATTAGCATAATGATTCACACCAAACTCCCCTCGAAGGGCCACCATTTGTAGGTTTAAAATCATCAGTGGAGCCCTGTCGTAGTTAAACAAGTTTGTTTTTACTGAGCCCTGTATGTTACATAGATGAAAAAAAACTGGCTCCAGAGGCCATCCCATTGTGAAAGTCTTTACTGTGGCATCGTCCCCTGAGGAATAATCATGTTCTTAATCAGTGTTTGAGTCACAAGATGTTTCTGTGTACGGTCAAAGACTGCATGATGCTGCAAAAGCGGGTGGCTTGGAAGATTTATTATACTAATACCGACTTATGATAAAGCAGCGTTTACTACTTAGCAGATTGTGTGGGCTCTATTTTGGGAGACAGTTCAATTAACTTAACATTTCACAAAAATCAGGCCGCTTAAGAATTAATTGCTTATTAAAATGACTACCCACTTCAGGGTGGGAGCTTGTTTACAGTTTGCTAAGCAGTGGTTCCTGTGTGTCAGCGAATTTAGATGTTTGTGTTTAACAGCTTATTAAAATTCCCGCTTCAACCCAAAAAGACATGCTGTGCAGAGACTCTACACTTTATACATTAGATAGAGACCCCAAGAGAGAGGCCTCTTGCTTAATCAGAGGTCACAAAAATGACACAAAGAATATATGTTGTATACAAAAATACATCACAGTCAAATCAGGTCAAATATGTGTTCTCATCACTGTTGTCTCATGATTGTTTTTCTCTTTTCAGTAATCTGCAACTTCCGGTCATCAACATGTCAGGCCTTAGTCCTGGAGATTGGGGAAACTGTACAGATTTTGGAGAAGAGTGAAGGTAAAAGCAATCCCGCCCAAATGATGGTGTTTGATTGTAAATAACAATCAGATCTGTACTGCAGAGAGATATCATGTGCCTAAAGTATACATGTTCACTCAGGCCTAAGGGTCCTTCTTTCCTAGTATTTTATATGGGACTGACTAACTCTGCATACTAAAGTAAAAACAAATCTAGTCACAGTATTTAAATGTGATTACTTTTAAGTGAAATACATAAATTAAAGCATTCTGTTTTTCTGCGCCAGATCTAAGGTTAATCATAGAAGTAGGCTTTGAAACACCATTCAAACCATCATGTTGTAAAAACTTAATTTCACAGGTCCATATTTCCTAATAAATCTCCTGAGAGAGTCCTGTTAGACACTTTTCTGCTTACAGTATGTTATGGAAAATAGAGTCTAGTAAAGCAGTTATTATAAGCAGTTATTGATTTCCAGATCTTGACCTAAAAATAAACTGCACCATCACACCAAAAGAAGGATTCACTGAAGCTAACACAAAATAAAATCCTAACAGGGCGGATTTTATGTAACTTTTTTGGGAAATTATGATATAACTTTTTGTTCAATACAGCCCTATACCTGGTGGTCCACCATACTAACTGCTAAATTGGCTTACAGAACTGATTTCACGGATTTCTTTACCATTTCATGACCAATAAAATGACAAAGCAGTCAATATAACAGTTAGTATAATTATTTTATTTTAAGCAAGTAAGTTAGCTAGCAAAAAACGGTAATGAATTACATTCGGATTAACATATCAAGTACAAGTTCAATGAAGGTAAAAAGTAATGTCACATCTTTCTTTACAATGTGTTTCATTGTGATGTAGCAAGGTTTTCTAATGTGAATTTTGCTCTTCCTTTAGGATGGTACAGAGGCTTTTCCACCAAGAAGCCTTCTATCAAGGTAATTATAACAGAATCCAAAAATGACTGGTTGGAGATTGGGTTAGTTCCTGCAGGCTACTTACAGTTCTCAGCATTTTGAATATGTGAGCAAATGAATCTCATCAACACTGGCATACTTGAAGTACAGAATCAAAATACAAAGATCTATTTGGACTTAAGACACAACCTTGTACTGTAGTGCAGCAAACTGAATAAGTTGTTGGAAAGCCAGTAATCATAGTAAAGTTAACACATATTTAAATAAACACAGTAAGAATCGCCAACTGGTCTCTTTGTAATACAGAGTTGTCTCCACGTGAAGCTTTTATTTGATAGAGACCAATGCGTTTTTGTGAATGATAATGTGACATGAGAGATGTGCATCCCAAAAATAACTTTGTCTAGACAACAAAGACATTAATGACTGATTAACTTATTGAATGGAGCTTTGTTTGACAAAAATAGAAATCTCCTGACCTGTTTTTCAAAACAGGTCAGGAGATTTCTGTGTCTATAAACATTTTTAACCAAGATGTTCTGACTTCATATCATAAAAACACTACGACTAATTGGAGGGCCGTCTACACACGGCAAATACAGAGACAAGAAAATATACAATTAATCCAACCTTGGTTTGAGGCCACCTCTATCATTTATTTTATTTTTGTACAATGGCAATTTACAGAATAGCATCCCAGAATAGCACCATGGAGCCACCACTCTGTGTGCTGTATTACCACTCTGCTGTTTTCTCTCCTGTGCAGAATTGTCTAAAACATCTCAATTTGGTTTTCCTTTCAGCCAGCAGATGGTGCAATTAGTGATCTAAAAGCATATTTTCAAGCAAAAAAAAAGCAATTGAAAAATACATAAAAATAAAACTCGGTTTTAATCCATAACATGAAATACACTGTTTTCTTCAGTGTTTCCTGCAGGAGAGAAGCAGCACACACTTATTGTGGTGTTATATTTTTGATCAAGGCAGAAATAAAGTTAAGATGGAGGGTAGAACAGAGAGATTGAATCCACTTCACAGTCGGCATCATTATGATAAATCCTACTCAGTAAGTAAAGAGCATAGGTGAAGACTAATACAGCCCCATCACTGCCTAAAGAGATCAATACGCTGCACTGCAATAAGTGGTTATTATATACGACTGACACATCCGCTTCTTATAGGATTGATTCTTCCGTAAAAACTGTTTATGACAGACTCCATCCTTGACAACCTGTAACAGAGCCCAATAGCCATTACACAAGCAGTCGTATTATCAGTAACAAAAATACCAGATGTATTATAAAAAAAACACAAGAGCAGCAGGTCATCTGTTGCCATTTCGTATGTGTACTTTTAAAATAAAATGTCAGAAGCTGAAGTGTTATGTGATGCTGCTGTAATGTTTTAAAAGAAGCACAAAAGCTGTCCAGTCCTGGTAAATGTAGGTGTTAGTGGCTTCATGCTGTCCTTCCCTACTCTCATCAGCTATTTACAGTTCTTACTAACACCCCTCCATTTTGTTATGTACTCTACTGCCCACTTTCAATCGCCCCCATGCTCTCTCTATGCTGAGAGGAATTAGTTTGGCTCACTGTGGCCAATTCTTCACATCTGGCAGATTAGAATAAGAAAGATGAACTGCAAGGGTGGCACCACTCAGTCTCTCATGCCCTTCCCCTGCTAAGCCAAGCCACAAAAGGGCTCATCATCTCTGTGGTGTGTGTGCACGCAGTATCATTTATTCTCTGCATGTCAGCATACAGCATAGCAGAAATGGTCTAAACATATAATGCAAGAGTGAGCTAGCAATTCCTTCAACATATAATGTGTGGCCAGCAGAAGTGTATCTTAACTTGAAGGCATTGTACCACAGACAACACAATACTGTACACGTTGGTTACATGTTGCAGGAGAATTAAGAACGTGATCCTGTCACACTCGGTAACATCTCTGCTCCCTCCTCTCTGTCCACAGGGGATTTTCCCAGTCAGCTATGTCCACTTGAAGAAATCCACAGTGACCAACAGAGGGTAAGTCGTTTGATGTTTTAGTTGAGCTTGCACAGCGTCATAATTAGAGATGCGCTTATCTAACTTATTTTGATGGATGTACCCCGCCGCCATACAGGCACCAACATACGATAAAGAAAGACTGAGTAGCAAATAAAAGTCTGTGCATTCACTAGTGTGCTCCGGTGAAGGTTGCAGATGTCAATACATATATTTGGTAATGTTGGAAAGATCTATATACTCACCAATACTAATTTGTTGTTACATAAACACATTATTGACATACTGTGGCACTGGCAGTGTCAACACAATCCAACATGCAAAGCTACGAGTAAACAAAACATGCTTTTGAATCTGAAATACATGCAGAGACGGACTAGTTAGACTAGTTTTGGGTGGGCAGTTTGATAATAAAGCAATCCCTTCAATATGATAGATTGTATTTGGCCCTTTGTATTTGTATTTGAGTTGGTTTGACGGGAATTAAAGGGATAATATCAGTGTATTGAAATGAAAGGTAATTAATCATTTTTACCAGTCTCTTCCACTTATTTTGTTTAACATTTAATAATACCTAATGTACTTCATCATGGCAAACTGTAATCTCACAATGTTAAAGTAAACACAACATAATAGAATATTTTATCCATGTCACCAACCCCTACAACCATACTTGTCAACCCTCCCGTTTTCGCGGGAGACTCCCGATTTCATTGCCCTCTCCCGGTTTCCTCCCGGGGTCATATTTCTCCCGATTTCTGACAAAATCAGATTTACTCAGGACTGTTTCCGCTCGGACTTTAATACAGCTACACCATTGTTTGGTTTCCATGGTAACACGTCTCTTTAATAGCGCGCAACTGAAAGTCTGACAGGGTGAGGCAGATAGTCACAGAAAACAGAACAAGAATCGACAACTGCTCTACTCACTCCTTACCTGCCCACTACTCACTCCTTTCCTGCCCACACATATGCTCCATCAAGGATGGTGCTACAGGCCGCAAGGCATTGCACTTAGAACTACAATAAGCATGTTAATATTAATCTAACAGCTCCAGCGATAAACTAACCCCCCCCCCATTTTGCATTTTGAAATGCTCCCGATTTCTGAGGTCTCAAGGTTGGCAAGTATGCCTACAACCAGTGTCGGTCACACTAAGAGTAGAGTGAAGGGAACATCTTTGCACATGCAGGAAACATTTCATCATATTTGAATTGGTTTATTATTGAGTAGACACATAAACAAAACTAAAATAGCTTGTTGAATTTATTGCAGCACATAGCATTTTATGTAGGAGGGAAGTGCAGCTCAAAATACTGAAGACAACATCAGCAGTGGTTTCTCTACAGATCCGTATCTAACATTGACACATAGAGGAAGGATGATATTAGCAATGCTATCTGTTTGTTCTGTACTAGTCAGGAGCTCGTATCAATCATTACACAGGGAGTATGATGCAGATACATCAATGTGTTCATCTATAAGACAACTTTCATTGGACAGTCGTTAACATGTATGCATGCTCTCTCGCACACGCATGCACACAAATGCACACACAGTGGAGGTCATCCAAAGTTCCCGTCGCAAAGCCGGCCCCTGATGTATCGGCTAGAATAAAAGTGATGACAAAACATGCGGCAGATCTCTTTCTCAGTCTGAACTGATGGAGGTTTAACCCTGCAGACTGGGAGCTGTGGCTCAGTGTGGACTGGGAGTTTGCTGTTACATCTCCCAGTTGAGCTTCCACATAGCAGCAGGATTGTTGTTTCCACTCAAACAATTAAAAGTGCACACTTGGAAATCCACATTATTATACCTCCTCGCTCCAGGAGTTGCACTTTGGGAAATGTGCTTTGCTGTCTCATGGAGTTAATGAGGTGACACACCTTCTGCATATCTGTGGTTCTCCCAGAGTGTTCGTGCCACAGACAATAACCCTGAGTCATGGTGTAATGGATGGAGACGCTTCCCTTGTTGCAAGAATCAATGATACAGTATTAAAGATAATTCTTTCAGAACAGGCCGGAGCTTAGTGAGCAAAGTTTCACTAGAGAATTAACCTTGGTTTAGTGTTTCTCTGAGTGTGGTCGCACAGGAAGGATGTGTGTTGTGTTTTTTACTGAAGTGCTCTACCTCTCCTGCAGCCAGGGAACATATTCTTACTCTTCATAAGATTACTCACTTTTTTCATTTCATTGCTGTTACTAATTTAAGAGCTGGCCTCAAGCTGTGGCATTAATGCCTGCGGTATTATGTCAGTTTTGAGCAGGCGGAAATTACAACATGTTAGTTGTTTAACATATAAGAAGTAATCAGTTACTTGTCCTCTACTAACGTTACTCAGCTCAGCATTAGCTATCTGCTCAATTAATCCGGCGACTTTGCATCACTGCCGAACAACTGTCTGTATCGTTGTGCACGCTCACATTCATCTACATGTTTCTCTTTTGCTGCAGGCTGTGTGAGACGGTGGTGCCCCTGGAGGACCCCATCATCACAGAAACCACCTCCACACTGCAGGAATGGGGGGTCTTGTGGAAGCAGCTCTATGTGGTCAGTAGCACTATATTACAATACATCGCCGTCATCTTGAAACAAAACACCAAGCAATACATGTGAGACTAAATCTAACACATTTGCAAGAGAGTTGGAACAAAAAGATATTGCATCTATCGTTGTTTCATTTCCATCCTCCGTAGGGGTTTTGGTGGAATAATCTTTTCCAGTATGTTTTATTCTTCCCTGCACTTAATTAAACACCTGTATAACCATCAACTATAGTGAATAACCCAAAGAGATACAGTGCTAACATACAGTGAAAGCCCCTTTAGATATTTTTCCATTAGCATGTCGTTCTGACTGCCAGCCTACATTTTCATATACTATCTCTGTAGGAACAGAAATGGTGGCCACAGATAATGGCCTGCAGACCTGTCGCATGCAATTTCATGCTGTGTCATTCAGCCATTGATTGATTTAAGCCTCCCTCTCGTAGTTTGTGCATCATCTTAAGATCCAGCTCTGCTCGCCACCTTCAGTCAGCCTTTACTTTCCCGGGCAAAAGTGATTACTGGAAAACCTAAAGCATTCTTAATCCTGCTATGTGTCGAGGGGGCAGGCAGAAGTGGTTGGTAGGGTTTGGAGTTTGGAGCTGAGTAGATACATTGCGGAGCTGGCAGCGAGTTTTTACATAACCTCTCACTGAGGACTGCTCATGCTCTGAGCAACTAAGGAGCCGGAGGCGCTGGTGTAGTGATGTAACTTTCTCTGAAGCCCGACTAATGCGAAGCGCTGATTTAACAGAACCCGCTTTGGTGCTCACCCCCTGTGTGATATGGGCCATGTTGCCACAGTTGCATCCATAATAATAGGATGTAGCATTGGCTAAATGTTGTTACATTTCACCTTATTGTTGCCAATTACAATTCATGGGATTACTTCAGGGAGCAATGGCCTAAGCATAACTGTGTATCTGTTTTAATGTACGTAATTAGCCCCGCAGAATAGACACCCGAAAGGGCTCATCAACCCTGAAAAAAATCTTTGTTTTCCAGCAGCCTTTGAGAACATGCAGGGCTTATCCTCATTAAATTTACATCGGCAATGTGGTGCCGCTTAATCTTTGTATTTATGTAAACAAACCTGGGTGGTAATGTGGACTTGTCGTGCCATTACGGAGAACACAAAATCACAAAATGCCTGAATTAAAAGGGTTGTCCTTAGTTTACGACAAATAGTGATGAAAGTCATTACCGTGAGGAGGTCAAAGCAAGGGGAATAAAAAAATTTGTTTCGTTAGCAGTGCGACTTAAATGTCAGAAGCATCACACATTTGTTCTCCTAACTGCACAGGCTGGCAAGGAGTGGTTAGAACATGATTTGTGTCTTGATCCTACTTTGACTGAATAATAAATCATCAGAGTCTGATATCAGAGAACAATCTGCTAGTAACCTCTTGTTTTCTCTCAGTGTCCAGCGCTGTAGTTAAAGAGGGCAATTAATAATCTCTACATAAATGCTGCAGCAGAAGAAGATCACATATCCTAACCAAGCCTTTTTTTGGATGCTCCAACAGAAACACAAGGTGGATCTATTCCATAAGCTGCGTCATGTGATGAATGAGCTCATCGACCTGCGCCGGCAGCTGATCCAGGGTCACCTCGCCCAGGATCAGACTCGTGAGATCAAGCGGCACATCACTGTACGACTCGACTGGGGCAATGAGTGAGTGACTCTTGTACTGAATTGTATTAACATTGGCTGCACAAGGAATACAGTATTTCCTTGGCACTGGAGAGATCTACAACACTGGATGAGTGGGTGCGGGATAACATCCTCTATGATGTAATTTTATGGTCATTTAGCAGATGAGTGAATCTCAAGCGGCTTAAAGTCAATGCACATCCCCCTGGAGGAACTGTAAAGACATATTCCCACTGTTGCCAGTTTAAAACTCCATCCAACTCAACTGTGACAGGCATCCATAACAGATCAAACATATGAGGGCTCCCTCTCAGCTGAGAAAGAACTTTATATGAAGTGGCTGTCAGTTTATTATAAAATAATTGCACATACAAGTACACCAATATTTACATGAACTATTATGAGTGTAATGTAAAAAAAACACTCAGAAGTGGAGCCTGAAATTCCCTGTATTCTGTTCACCATGCGTGTTGAGGTCACTGCTTCGTATTGCACACTGACCTGAGAGCTGTAGTGATCTAATTTCATGGTTAAAAGATCACAGCAGCCCTGAGTGCATGTTTTGAGGCTGCACGATTTAGTTTGAAATATAAAAGCATGAACTAGAGGTGTAAGGAAACACTTAACCTCTTTAATCCATAGACGCTTTGGTTGGTCTGTTTAATACATAATCGTCTCGGAGTGTTTAAGTAATATTTAAACCTAATAACCCGAAATCTTGTCATCAGTACATGCCTAAACCAAAATTGACTGTTGATAGTGCTGCCATCGCAAAAATAGTTTGAGTGATGATTTAAACTGTAGCTGGTAGTCCTCGAGCAAACTGATACAGATTACTGTTTATATAAGGAGATATGTAAGTGGTTGTAAGTGTAAACGTTTGTGTTATATTATATTATGAGTCTACTAAAAAACCATAATATTAATTTTCTGATGCATTTCTGGAGTTTAAACAGTCTAATTATGATGAGCAAAATAAATGACCTAAAATAAATTAAAGGGGACTATTGTGCTATTTTTTTGGTTCATATTTATGATGTGCCTTTACTGTGAAATGGTTACCTGCCTTAAAGATCAAAGAGTGCTTATTGTTCTCATACTGCCTGTGCTGCAGCACCTCTTTTCACCCTCTGTCTGAAACCAGAGCCCAGTCTGCTCTGATTGGTTAGCTGGCCGGCTCTGTTGTGATTGGTCCAACTCTTAGAGAGGTCCCGCCCCTTATCACAAACAATGTGTTGGAGTGCTAGCCAAAAGAAGCACGAGTGTTACATAGTGGTGTCACTATGTTACAGAAGTAAACAAGGAGTCAAATCGTAGGCGTGGGAGAGAAACTCCCTCTGGAAGGAACATAGGGGATTTGAACCTTTGCAGACCATTCCCACACACTCAAGGAAAGGGAAAACTCCAAAAAGGATTATGGGGCCCCTTTAAATAAAAAGTAGCATTTGATAGAAATCATTATTTTTAAACTAAGTACAATACCTTAGTGAATGTTAGAAGGCATGTTTATATAGTGTCATATTAAGATTTGATTAGGCTAGATTAAGTGACACCTTTTGACTATTCATATTATCTTTAAAAGCTGAAGTGAAAAAACCTCCAGGAGTGTATTTGAAGAGCTTAACATGTAATATATTTTAACTTGAAGTTGTAATATGAGACTGTTTTGATTCTGCCTGCATTTTGTCATACACCTCTTATCCCTCTTTCTCCAGGCACCTCGGCTTAGACCTTGTTCCCAGAAAAGAGTTTGAAATGGTGGATCAGGATCAGATCAGCATATCAGAGCTACACAAACTGGTATGTACAGTAGGGTGGGAATATTTTTCAGCCAGTGCATGCTGTACAATTTCACCACATTAATTATTGAAAATAATAAATTAAAAAAGTAAACGTGCACTCTATGAAGGATATAAGAGAAATGAAAAGCAATTTTGCAGCATTCATAATCTACTTAAAATTCTGTAAAACTGTATTGTAATGTCTCAAATGATGCCTACTATGAGATTTTTTGGTGGCTTTTTTTCCTGCTCATGAGGTTTTACATACAGGAATGTGTGGTTGGATGTGTATGGATGTGTGAATGTACCGATTATCAAATCATCCATAAGAAGGTGACTCACGAGAGGGAGTGCGATTCAGCTGCCTCATGTGACCTGTTCTTTAAGCTTATCTTATCGCCATATTGAGTGTGTCCCTTTTCTTGCATGCACGTGACTCTCACATGCGGGATTGCCAGCTAGCAATGCAGACATAATGCAAAGAGACAGTCCTAGGTGAGGCTCCGGGAAAATAAATACAAATGAATCTTTTAGCCTTTATTTTAAAAATAAGATACATATTTTACTCTTGCTTTAATCCGCCAACTAGACTTGAGACACATTTCCGTGAATAAATTATGCCTGAAATGTATTTTTTCTTCACTGACCTGGGACTTTTAAACGTATACACTCACACACACACACACACACACACACACACACACACACACACACACACACACACACACACACACGTACACGTACACACACAGAGAGAGAGAGGAGACCAACTGAAGCAGGTACTATTTTAGAAATATGCGATTACATCACCGATGTTATGAAACCTAATGTAATACTGCTGGAGACTGCTGTCCAGGAGGGAGATCCTTTCTGGTCACAAGTGGAAGCTCCATATGCTGATCAAAACTCTCTCCAAATGCCCCGCAGCCTCACATTATCCCATTGCCATGTTTCTCAGCTCTGCACGCAGATTGTTTGTGCACTAAATGCTTTGTCCAGTAACAAAAGCTCTCTCTCTCTTGCCAAAAAGCATCCTGACTCTGTCGATGAAAGTGAGCTTGTTTTTGGCAGGGCGCACGGCCTTGGCACTTCTTCAGGTAGGGGAGTAGAGGAGTTCTTTCAGGCTGCTGAGCAAAGAGGTGTGTGTGGGCGATACTGGCTTTGTCCTCTCCTCTCCCACACGCTCATGTTTTGCCTCATGTGGGCTTCTTTTTGCGCTGCAGGAGCAGTAGTATAGCCCCTCGGCTACGTACGTAGGTGCAAATTGTCAAATATGAAGCATCGACAGAGGCAACCCACAGGTAGTGTGTGTCTGAAGCTGCTTAAGGTAAATAAGTGCAATGCTGTGTGGAATGAGTAAAGAATGGACCGACTGATCTAACATCTTTCCTTTGAACTTTGCTCTTTTTCAGCATATATCCAGCAGACACTGTGGTCAGCAAAGCACAACCCAGGTATAGTCCTTTCAAAGATGTGTGTTTTCAAAATCATCAGAACCCTTCATGATGTGTCAGTCCCTTCATCTCTTAATATTTACTTCTGTCTGTACACTCTGTACCAGGTCAGTGTTCAAAAGCCGGGGCACTCTGGCTCTCTCACATTAAGACCTGTGGCTCTAGCAATGTCTTTCTTTGCATTGAGGATAAGAAGCTTGCAGGGACAAAAGCCCTTGATATATAAATTACAAGGTTTCATTGCCATGCTGCACAAGAACCTCACACTTATGCTGCCAGAGTGTGAGAGTTGATTCCCACTGGGATCACATATGCTACATAACAAGATGTATGAACAAATGGTGCTTTAAGGCACTTATGTTTGTCCAGTACATTTCATTTGTGGAAACCAAGGACTTGTTGCATATGGACTCCATACATTTAAGGAATGTAGCATTTCTAAAATGCAATTTCTCTCTAAGCTTTTTGTATGTAGTCCCCCGTGAACCCCATAAAGGCTAAAATTAAGCTCATGTTTACTTAGTGAAGGCCTTAAAAGCAGAATTGTCTGTTTATTAAATATGAAGCTACCATATGATATGCATAATTCACAATAGTTTTCATACATCCTATAAATAGAGAAGTTTACATCACAGTAAGGCAACCCCCTGCAGCCCCGCACAACAAAAACAGACCCACCACAGCTGCAGTTTCCATCATTCATTCATCATTTCTTGTAACTAAAGTCTACTGTAAATAGCATGTACATGTGACAGGATGAAGTACACTGTAGGGCATATATTCATGAATTATTCACCTCTTACAGTACCCCCATTGATCTGCTAAATAGGCATATCCATTAACTGAGTGGCAGGTACTCGGCCTCAATCGCAGTGAGGAGCAGCCTTTTTAGCGGTCACTTTTTTCTTTGTTCCCAGGGTGACAGCACGAGACAACGCCATGGTGACGGTTGCCGTGTCCCTGTGTCACACCACCTCTTCATCAACCTGAAGAGCTTTACCTACAACAGTATCAGCGAGGATGCAGACGTCTTCTTCTCTCTGTATGATACTCGGGAGGCCAAACAGATCAGGTATGCGGGGGGGGGGGGAATGTCAGTGCACTCATAACCAAATGATCCCCCGATGCAAACTGCACTCACATATGTCCACACACTATGTCTGACCAGCAGATTGACTGAGGCCTTCTGTGGTTGACACTCTGAACCTGTGAACTGGCTTTTTTTGCAGTGAGAAGTTCATGGTGAAACTGAACAAAAATGGAGGACCAAAGAATCCAGAGAAGGTTGACCGTCTGTGTGCTCTCTTCACGGTAACATATGTTCCCTTCAAGTCTTCAATATAAATATTGTATACTTCAAATACTTAAGGGACATTTTTCATCCCATTTCTCGTTAGGACCTAAGCAGTAAAGACTTGAAGAGAGATCTGTACATTGTTGCACATGTCATAAGAACTGGTAAATATGGCACAGTGTTTAATAATAAAACAAATTGGTTTATCAATGCTTATGTTTTAGCGCATCCCTCTCCTTTCTGTTTTCAGGTCGAATGCTGCTGAACGACTCAAAGAAAGGCCCCCCGCATGTGCAGTACAGACGACCTTATGGCTGCGCAGTTCTTGCCATGAGTGACGTTTTCCACACGATCACAGACCTCAAAGAGGAGAAGGACTTTGTGCTCAAAGTTTACACGTGAGTTAAACCTGAGCTCTTCTTCATTATACCGTCGCCCTAAAAACTAATTTCTCTGGCATTTAAATCGTGAAACTGAATATTATTTGTATACAGATGTCAGTTTAACTGCTTAGTAGAAGTTGCGTGGCTTCTGTTCTTTTGGAAATAGAGTTAAAGAGTCTACGCAGTGAGGCGGGAAATGTGACTGTTCTGCAAATGCCGTGCATGACAACCTAGTGCTCCAGTGTTGATGCCTGGTGTGTTTTGACCAGAATGATAATGAAGTGTCCTCTGGAAAATCAATAGCTGCTCACCCTGGGCCCGAGATAGGGCACTTGGCGTGTTGTGAATCTGGCTGCTTCTGTTAGGCTTCGCCACAGAGAGCCTCTCCTGTACGCCGGCCAACCCAGAGAAGGAGGGAGACACAGAGAAGGAGAGGGGAAGAGATCGGGGGAGATGACACTTAGATAATTGAGCAAAGTTAGAGGACAAAGAAAAAAAACAACACCAAGCTCAGCACTTTCTCTTGTCAGTCAACAGCTAGGATGTCTTCTTGTGTCTGCAGTGTCCTCCCTAGCGTCCGCTCGGGGTCAGAGGTCATTCATCCGCTCTGCCATCCTGTTGTGTGCGACATTTTTCTCATGTTGTATTTTCCAGGATAACTTTACAGCTCAGTGTGAAATAAAGATTTTTTAGAATAGAAAGCTGTCGTTTATATTGGATTCCTCTGCCTAGGCGAAGAGCTCTTCCCTTTAAAAAGAAAGCAGTGATTCAGTGCTGAGCTGTCTCCAAACTGTCGGCTCCTATAATGCTCCAGTCTGTGCATTTCCCCATGCCATCCCAGGGGCCTACAGGCCCACAGTAATGAAAAAGGCTGGTAGAGAGCTGGCTGTCAGGTTTGCTTAGTGAGCTGTGCATTTGGGCTAATGTGCTGCTTGATAGCACCTCCCCCTGCTGCTACCTTTTCTCCAGGAGGAAATCGGCTCTGGGACACATGCTGTTCATGTAGTCCCCATGCACACAGTCCCAAACCCTCCATCTGGACCCACTAATGGGTGCGTTGTTAACAGCCCCACCCAACTGTCTCTCTCTACAGATGTAACAATGAGAACGAGTGGCACCAGATACAGGAGAACATCATCCGCAAGTCCAACACCAAGTACTCCGCTCCCAGCACCAACTATGGTAAATATGACGTCTATACTGATCTGGGGCCTCATGTATAACGCTGCGCGTAGGATTGACGTGGGAAGGTTGCTTACGTAGTATAAATTCGAAAAATAGGTCCATACATTGTCCGCCACTTTCCGATTCACCAAACATTGCGTACCGGCGAGGAAAGTGCATATGGCACTTCCTACGCCTGTTTCCCTTTTTATAAATCACAACCGACTCGAAATGCGGTGCAGCTTTTGCGGGCTTCACGGAACGCCCATGTTTGCCTATAAATAGTCAAAGAAACGCCCTTTCATTCATTCATTTTGACTGACTGCATGGAGAAGATCGCAGGAAATGACGGCAGCTAAAAAAACCATCTCACACCGTGTCAGATTTTGGTTATTTTGGGGAGGTCGAGATAAATCATATTGTTTGGTGGATGCAGTTTGAACCAGCGTAGCAGCATGGAGGTCGGATCGTCACCAAAATAAATAAGTGGTCCGAAAAAGGTTAATGACAAAAATAATACACATAGCCTTCCTCAGGCAGTGTGTTTGTACCGGGGACAGGAGACACCCCCCTTGATGAGAAACTGTAAGAAATGATCGGGGGATCCCTCCGGAGTGGAGTCATGACGACTGGATCTGAATTATGTTTTTGTATTTGGCGGTTTGTGTCCCAGCTGTCGATCAGCTGTGCGCAGCGACTCCACTGCAGCCTGTGCATCTCAACCCCCCCCTCTGCAGCAACTCTATATCCACCAGTTAAAGGAAATACAACTAATGTGTTGTGTTATATTAGCTGTACAATTTACCACATATGGTGTTCTTAGTTTCCATACCTCCTGTGTTTTACGAGCGACTTATCAAGTCTTGGCAAACGGCATAAAACATGATTAAACATGATAGTATATAAAACCATGCTCGTATCTACAACCTATACAAATGCAAAACGGCGTCAGTTTAGACGTAATTCTGTCTTCCTGCTTACCGCATCATTTATGAGAAAACATTTCATAACATTAACACAACATATTCGAGGTGGTTTTAAATAACATATCCGTATTTATTTATTTCTCCCAGTTAGAGGCGGAGTTATTTAAGATGGAATCCACTCTTTATTTTCCATTAAGCGGCGTAGAATATCAAACATGGTCCAGTCCATGAGAGTCAAAGTTAGGAGTGCCTTGCTAGCCTAGCTTGGCAACCTGAAAATACTCGGTGTTACACTAAAACAAGGTCCGTGTAGAATGTAACCCCAAAAGTGGAATTATGGCTTAACTAGAGTCACCACACAAG